GAGTTCAAGGCCAGCCTGTTCTACAGAGTGAGATCCAGGACAGACACCAAAACTACACAGAGAAACCTTGTCTTGAAAAACAAAAACAAAAAAACCAGAAAAACAAAAACAAAACAAAAAAAAGAAAAGAAAAGAAAGAAAGGCCGAGGTCTAGCCCAAGGTTGCTATACCAGTGAGAGCAGAACCCCAGCTGTCACCTCCACAGGCTTTAGTTTGAACCATAGTTCTCAACCAGGAGTGACTTTGCTCTAGGGGACAAGTAGGGATAGATGGATATATCTCTATATCTATCTATCTATCTATCTATCTATCTATCTATCTATCTATCTATCTATCTATAGCTGTTGGCATGTGAGATCTAGTGGGTAGAAGCCATGGGTCCTTCTTGATCCGCTACCTGCGTGTGACAACTTCCACAAGAAAGAAATTTCCCAGCTTTAGCTGCATTCTCATGTTTCTTAGGGCAGGATTGATAGCGGCCAAGATATGGTCCATTGACAGATGAGTGGGCAAAGAAAATGAGGTGCATATATGCAATAGACTAGTCTTCAGCCATGAAATGAATGAGATCTTGTTATTTGTGGCAATGGGGATGGGACTAGCAGGCATCATGGTGAATGATAAGCCAGAATAGAAAGACAAACACTGCATGCTTACTCCTACTCCTTGGTGGCAGGTTAAATAATTATCTCATAGAAGAAGAGAGAATATTGGACATTAGAGGCTGGAAAGGTGGGGAGAAAGGGGGTGCAGAAAAAAAAGGTTAATAACTAGCAAAAATGCAATTAGAGGAAGAATTAGTTCTAGTGTTTTCCAGAGCAATAGTGTAATCACAGTCTACAATCATTCAACATATATTTCAAAACACTGGGACTGAAGTATTCTAAATGCAAGCAAGTGACATGTTGGAAAGGAGGAAATACTAATTATATATTATATACATGTATGAATTGCCATACTGCATCCTCCAAAATATGCATACATATTAGGCCTTAATTAGAAATTTCAAGAAAGAATTACCTAGCCCCCAATTTTGATTGTGGAGATGTTAAAAAACTGTGATTAACCACTGTCTGGCATGATGAGGATCTGGTCCTTTGTACTTCCACCCCACCCCCTGACAGCACCATCAGCATCCCTTAAGCTGAGGATGGAGAGAAGTGAGTCCTTTCTCCAGCTTGCTTCTTACACATAGCATAGAACGCCTCTCTCAGCCTCTGATGTATAGACCCAGTCCCAGAGGTGAAATGTCTTATAGCAATACCTTGACATCTGCTGTTTAAAGAAAAGAAAGAAAAGGCTACTTTTAAATTGGGGTGTATGCGCACCACACATTGGACTGGACACTTCTAAAGCCACTGCATTATCCTCTAGAATAGCTCTTTTTTATGCTTAGTGAAATCAGAGTAACTCACCTCTCATCCCCGTCATCCCAGGCTTGGAATGAGGAACAGATTCAAAGTCACAGAGCTAGGAAATGGAGCATGGAACCTAACTGGGGTCCCACAGACTCTAGCTAGACTGGACTTACTACTTGTTTTTTAAGGAAAACCATGCTGAAGGTTAAGTAGGGAGCTGAAAACAAGTCCTAAATATTTCTTGCTCCTCCTTTTAATTAAAAGGGTAGCTCTTTATACCCCATAAAGCAATCAGCATACAACATGGAAAGTCTATATTAGTATACGGGGGTGTGGGTACGTTGGTCATAATAGGGCTTTTTTATAGTTCTCAAGGCACATTTATTATCCATTATCTCATTTGATCTCCTCAACCGTCCTGAGAGTCTGTTGGAGGACAAATGTCTACATTTTATATTTGAAAAACTGGGCCTGGAAGGGAGTAGGCTTGTCCAAAGGCCTTGGCCAGCCTAGTCCACCCAAGGTGCCTCCTGCAGCTCCCCGCGGCTGCTGTCAGGGTCCAGGACCGTCTCTACTTACAAGCCTAGGGGAGCTCCCATGAACTCTGACTCACTAGGGGTTAAGCCACATAAACTCTTTTATGAGTGGTAACCATTTAATAGGCCCTGTAAAAAGGGCCCCTCACCACACTGCCTGCTTTCCCCTGGAAAGGGGGTGCTGGCAGAGAGGAGGGCTTGGGAGAGGGTACAGAGTGGGAGGTGATAAAGCAGCTGAGACCTTGACGTCCTAAAGGCTTCTCTGTGAGTTGGGAATAGTTATGGAAGTTTCCACGAGGTTGTGTTGAGAAATGACATCTGCCTCAAGGAAAGGAGCCCAATGAGAACTGGCCTGAGACACTTACCAAATTCTTTTTAAAATGTCCTTATCCTTTTTATTATAAAATTTTGCTGTTTTAGATGTTTGTTTGTTTTATGTGTATGAGTCTTCTGCCTGCATGGAGGTATGTGCACCTTGTGTGTACCTGGTGCCTGAAGAGGTAAGGACATCAGATTCCCTGGAACTGGAGTTAGGGATGGTTACGATCTACCATGTGGGTGCTGGGTCCTTTGCAAAAGCAGCAAGTGTTCTCCCCAATGGAGCCACCTTTTTAGACCCAGCTCTTAATATGACTGTCTAAGACCTTGGCATAGATAGTGTCTATGATTCTTCTCAGGCTTTGAGTTTAATGATATACCCATTTTGCAGTTGGAGAAAGTGAGACTCAGGAAGTTTTGGGCCAGACAGATACAGAACTTAGAATCATCTACAGTGAGCAGAGGAACTAGAGTTTCAGTTCCCTCCTCAACTCAGAAGAGTGGGACCAACCCCATACCACCTGCCCCATACCACCTCCCTTCCTTCAGGAAGTGGAGAACAAAGCCCTAAACTGGCTAAAAGGGAGGCTCCTGCTGGATCCAGCAGGTCTCGTCCCCACCAACATACCCACTTTGAAGCAGCCCTGTGGGCAAGTCCTTGGGACGGGTGGTGGGAGGCCTATCTCTGCCTGTTCTTTGAGCCTGCAGGGCTGCTCCCCGCAGCAGGGCTGGGCTCTGAGCTTCAGCCCTCTTGGAGTTAAACAGTAACCTTTCCACTGCTTGTGGGTGAGTAAACTGCTGCCAAGGAAGAAACCCAGCCTTGAGCAAACACGAGCCAGGGCTGGGCCCTGTCCCTCCCCAGCCGCCAAGTCCCCCGATGGATGAATTAGCTGAGGTGGATTGTTCTGAAAAGCCCGATGGGAAAATGTCTCCATGACTGTGTGAAAGGAAGGTTTGACCTGGTGAGAGCAAAAAATTTTCTTGAAGGGGGCTTAAGAATCAGTTTTACCTTTTTAGATTGAGAAACGGGCAGCCTGGGGTTGTTTTGAGTCCAACTTATCCACAGAAGTAGCCGCTTTCCCCACAGTGGCTTCATTTAATTGTTAAACTTTGTGCTAAGTTCTGCAAGGATAGAAATGTGTTTGATCCATAACCCATGTCCGGGCTAGATGTGACCATCTGTGTTTTCACACAGAGGGGACTGAGGGTGAAGAGATGTTGGGTAACCCCTGTGAGCTAGCACTCACTATAGCTAGCAAGTGGGAGAGCTTGCAGGAATCTCGGCTCTTCTGGCTTTGAAGCTCTCACCAGAATGAAGGCTCACGCTCTCCTGGGTGCCCTCCCAAGCCTCCCTTCACTAACTGAGTTGTCTGTCATTTCTACTCTGCCTGTCTTTCTTCACTTTCCTCTCACGCTGGGTGTGAGCCTACATGCTCACCAAGCAACAGTGATGAGGAAGTCAACAATTACAAGTGGTGTGTAGCCCAGGTTAACCCCTAAGCCAGCTCTGTCCTCAGAACCTGCAGATGGTACCTAGCTCTTCATCAGGGCAATAAATATTTGCTGAATACATGAATGCACGAATGTATTATAGGCTTTCTCAAGGTTATATATCTTTTCTCTGAGGTTCTACACAGAACCAACCAGAGGAGCTGAAGCTCAGTTAGGGGTGTGTGTGTGTGTGTGTGTGTGTGATTACTCTGAGGGGACCATTCCAATCTGTTAACATGGGTGACACCTGAGGATGCAAAATTTCCTCCAAATAGGACAAAAAAGCCATGATTTGTGGCTATCCATACCGCAACATTTTATAAAGAACAAGGGCATCACTTCTCGGCCTTTTGGCTAAGATCAAGTGTGAAGAACAAGAGACTTTTACAGCCTCACAAGGTCCAGAAAAGAGCCTGCCTTCCCTTTCGTGATTGCACACACTCCCAGGCTCCAACCTGTAGTGTGTAGGGTGTCCAGTTTGGGGGCAGGCACATGATAAATGCCTCTGAGATGTAGAGGTTTTACATTGCTCCAACGTTCCAGATGGGCTATGAATGAAAACTGTTCTCCTGGGCCCCACAATCGAGAATCTGAGGAAGTCACTTTGAGGATGGCTTCAAAACCTGTTGAATGTTCCAGGTCTCCATCAGAAGAAAAGCCACCCAGAACTTTTTAGCAAAACATAAAATCTTAGTTTTCTGTACCAGAAAGATGAAGTGTCTGTCACAGAAATTAAAGGATTCCTAATCTTAGCCCAAAGCTGAAAGGCTTAAAAAAAACTCTGCTAAGATATGATGGAGGCCAGTTCATCTCAAGGAGGACTCTGCATGGAGGAAGCCTTCCTGTGTCCTCAAGTGTGGGGGACACTTAGGTGGGGACTCACGATGTTGTCTCACACAGGGATTGGGTCTGAGATTTCACTGATCAAAATTCCACTTCAAATAAAATCTCTCTGGTATTTTCACTTTTGTGAAGCACTTGGATACTGGCCAGGCTTGCCCTGCGAGCAGGTATTGCATTTTCTTCCCGGCCTCGTTTCTGATCAGAGATTATTCATTTATGAATGGGTGGCTATAAAAACTTGCCTCATGCATATGAAAATTGAACCTGGAAAGTTTTAATCGCCATGAGTTTTGCTTTTACTGAAAGGGCTGTGGCAATGGGTGGAAGGACATGCTCCTTCCTCCCTTTCTTTCTTGTTGTCTTTCTTTCTTTCTTAAATGAACTCCATGCTCGTCATTCTCCAGTGATATTCGTATAAGAGGCGCTGATTGAGTGACTATTTGATCCCTTGCAGATCATGATTCTGGAAGGAAGTGGTGTAATGAATCTCAACCCAGCCAACAACCTCCTCCACCAGCAGCCAGCCTGGACAGATAGCTACCCCGCATGCAATGGTAAGGGCCCTGCGGCTGTCAGTGGCACTGCCCATACCCCCTTCTCTCCTGATCTGACTTCTTTTCCAACTTGATGCCTGGTTGTATTCAGTGATGACGTGGAGGTTAGGGACAAATCTCTCTCTCTCTCTCTCTCTCTCTCTCTCTCTCTCTCTCTCTCTCTCTCTCCCTCCCTCCCTCCCCCCCCTTTCTCCTTCCTTCCCTCCCTCTCTGCTGGAAATTGAACTCAGTGTTTTGTTAATCACAGACTGTACCACTGATCCATACTTTCTTATATGAGGAAACTTTTAACGCTGTTTTCTCTGTAGGCCTCCAGGGCTCTCTGCTAAGGCCCATTTGAGATAGATCACCACCTCCTTCCAAAATGCAAAGATTCGGGGTGGAAATAGAAGTGGTAGATGAGATATCCCACGGGAAGGGAGACGTCTTGTTGAAGTTTTCAATAGTGTTTCATTAGGATATCAAGATAGGATCATGGAGGGTGAGTGTGTCCAGGAGTACACACATGTATTTAACACACACACACACACACACACACACACACACACACACACACACACACACACACACGTTAAAGAAGAAAGGATTATAATACTTGAAACTTTCTAACTTATTTGCCATCACTTCCCAGTTTAAGGAAGAGAGGATTGTCAGGGAACTGGGTGCTGTCTTCCAGTGCTTTGCTCCGGAACACACAGACTCAAAAGTGGGGGACCCTCGTGACAAGCCTTGTATGTAACGTTTGGTGATCCAGTCTGTGGCTCCCAGTGAAAGCTGAGTCAGGGGCTCTGTGCTTCACAGTGAAGGCATTCAGCACAGCCAGGCTTCTGGGTATACAACAATGCTGGCTTAGGGACTCAGTGCACCCCCACCTGTTGCTAATTACCACCTTCCCCCCTGCCATGCTGCTGCTCTTGTTTACCTTGACACACAGATGTATCCTGTTAGAGAGAAAAGTTTGAGAAGCAGGAGTGAGGGTACGGTCTGGTGACATTCTCTGCTGAGTGGCAGGTCCACGTGGCACTCCTCTTTTAGTTTGGAATCCCAGCCAAGCATGGCAGGAAGCTTGAACAGGTGGCCTTCCTGTTTTAGGTCACTTGTCTCCTAAAACAGCTGCCCTTTCTGGACAGTTACATATTCTGTGGCAGACCTTGAACTTGCTGTGAGGACCTAGAAAAAGATAGTCTTCTGAAGAGAGCAGGAAGTCTTGGCAGGCCTCAGGTGCCGTCTCTACTGTTTGACTTGGAGAAAACTGGTGTGGTGGACTTATCGGGGCGGGGGGGGGGGGTAGAATTCAGATGTCACTTTTATTTCTTTAGCTCTGGGGGTGTCAAGACCGAAGGGAGGGGGAGGTCAGCTGCATGGCAGAGAACAGAACCCACTGGGTTTTCAGTTTTCCTGACATGAAGGACTCTGATGATTCTCTGCCTGAGAATTCCTCTCCCAGTCAACTTCAGGCAAGTGTCTGGCTCTCGTCTCCCAGCTTTAAACAGAGTATCAGAAGCTGCCTGTAACTAGGTTCCCATTGAGTGCATAGGGGAGTGTCTCAGGCCCGCCACCGAGCTCATGAGAGTTGTTCTTTTATTGGCAAACCCACAGCTTACTTGTTATTGAAAATGAAATTATTTTAGGGCTAGAGATCATCATCAACAACAAAATCAACAATGTCATGTTTGTCATATTATTACAATGATAATAAAAAATAGTAAGAAGGACACAGAAACCTCTGTCATAAGCTTTGTGTTGGGGGAGAGTTTCTGTAGACCTCAAGTTTTGGACTAGTCCCCTAGCCCTGGTGCTGTCCCTTGTAGGAGGGGCTGGGGAATGCCTTTGTTCGGCTGTAAGGTGGGAGCAAAGATGTTCACCCTGTGAGCAGCAGGTAGCAATGGCAGGCACCTTGATGTCCTGATTGATCTTGCCTTCTTGCTCTTATTGCTTTTGAGGTCTGGAAGCAGAGGCTGGATTTGGAAGGGGGAGAAAAAGTGAGATGGCTTAAGAGCCTCACCCCTTCCTTCCCTTCCGCTGGTAGGATAGAGGGTTAGCCCCGAGACGTTATGGGAATAGAGTCCTGAATCTCCCTGCCACTCCACAGTCCGGCAGCAGCAGCAGCATGGCAAAGCTTGCGAGGAATGCAGAAATTCAGACCTTAGCCCATACCTCCTGGACTGGGATCTGCATTTGGGCAGCAGTTCCTGCTGATTGCAGTGGCACTGAAGTTTTAAGTACTTAGCCAGCATGACTTTGAAGGGACAGTTAGGGGTATTTTCCTTGCAAATACATTTTCCTCATAAAATGCTGTCCCCTGATCATGGCTCGACTGTGGCTTCTAGAAACTGGAATAGCTGTGACCTCTCACAGAAGACCACATATGATGGGATCCACTAACATTACTTTGTGACGGGAAAGCTAACGCAGTATGCAAGGCTCCACCCCTCTCTAAAGATACGGCAGCAGTTAACAATTGATGGGTAGGCTGGAGAAGACTCCTTTGGAGGGACAGCTGTTTAGAGCCACCTAAAGGAACCTCTCACCTATGCGCCTATAAGTAACACCAAATTAAACTCAACAGCTCACCGAGCTAGACTTTGGTATTGATTCTTTTGTCTGCTGTTGGGGTCCTATCTTGGGTGAGCAGACTCTAGTTTCCATCCCCCCAGGAAAGGCCATGCAGCAATGGTCCAGATCTTGAGTGTGTCTCAAGTTCAGTTACATTTGCCCAGCTTGGGCTTGCTGGGGTACAAGGTGTCTGTCTCTTGGCTTTGCTGCTTACCTTTCTTGGAAAAGGGCTCCTCCTTTTTGTCTGTGTTTTCAGAAGACCTTGAGGTGCCTCAGCGGCCTTGAAACACAGCCCCAGAGGCTGGTACTCCCTTCTTGAGCTCGCATGCTCTTGGGCCAGTTCTGTGAAGTTCTCTTAAGTGAGCACAAGGCAGTCATGTACATGGACCATTGACATGTAACATGTTCAGCAATTTACCCACTAGAATGTACTTTACATCTTCATCCAAATTATCTCATAGTACAACTGCATTCCTGCATTAGTCGAGCATTCTGCTGAAATCGAATCATAGTGACTAGGTAATGAGCTCCCACTATGGCTCCGAAGGCGTTTTTATGGATACATGAAGATGAGTAAGACCGAAGGTCCATGACCTTGAACATACAGTTTGCAAAGAACAATAAGCCAGAACTTAGAAGCCTGTAAAGATAAGCAGGACGTAACAGGTGCCATTGAATATGATTCCTGGAAGTTCAGTTCTCAAAGAAGTTGGGGAAACTGTGACTCTGAATTCAAAAGAAGGAGAGCTAAAAGCAGCAAAGGTTGGGAGAGAAAGGGGCCTGGGGACCACACAGAAAAAACGCAGGGGACCCTAGCTGCTTCGAAAGCAGTTGGTAGAGTGCTTCAGGGCCTGGTGTGGCAGCTTTAGATCTTACTTCAGCGAGCAGTAGGAAGCTTTTGATGGGAACCGAGTGGGGAAGGGGTGTTGGAGCAGTTACCACCAGTCAGGGGCGAGATTTGTCACTGCAGGGAAGAGTAAAGCCGTCAGAGAAAGGGAAGCTTAATTTAAGGCCTTATTTTTGGTTGAAAATGGTCTGTGTTTGATGAGTCTCAGCTTTTGTCTTTGAATCTCGGTCTCTGTCTCTGTCTTTCTGTGTGTGTGTAAGAGAAAAGAATTATGGTTAGCCTTCTGCATCCCAGGGTTCCACACCTACAGACTCAACCAACTCCTAATTAAAAAAAAATGCATCTTGGGCTAGAGAGATGGGCCCATGGCTAAAGCGTTTGCTAGGCAAGCATAAGGATCTGAGTTTAGACCTGCCCCCCTCCACCCCAGTACCTTTGTGAGAGGCAGGCAGGTGTGGTGGATCACATCTGTAACTCCAATGGAGTTACAGTGGAAAGGCAAAGACAGGTGGATCCCTGGATCTCTCTGGCTAGCCAGTCTAGCCAAATCAGTGAGCTCCTGGTTCAGTGAAGAGCCCTTGTTTCCAAAAGTGAATGGAGAGCTATACTAAACCCCAGACATTGGCTCCTCGTCTTCATGCACCCACTCAACACACATGTGCGTGCACTTGCATATACGTAAACATGTACACACACACACACACACACACACACACACACACACACACACACACACAATGCATCTGTACTGAGCAAATACAATTTTTTTTTTCTTGTCATCATTTTCCAAACAACCTAGCATGAACTATTCACACAGCATTTACATTGTTGTGGGGATTGTAGTTAATCTAGAGATAATTAAAAATATGGAGAAAATGTGTAGGTTATATGCAAATATGACATTATGTAAGGGATGTTAAGATTTTGGTATTCATGAGGTGTTCTGGCAAGGTGAATGTATTTGCATATGTACAATCAACTGGGAAATAGATGAAACCATAGGCAACTCTTTCACTTTGGGGCTTCTTTGTGAGTGGGGTGGCAGTGAACTCAGAGTACTTCAGGTATCACATATGATCTAGCATTCAGAGATGGGCATCACATTAGGAAGACTATGGCGATGCCCTGCCACTACTGGGTAAAACCCCCCATGAGCTAGGAGCCTGCTATCCAGAGCACATTCTGTATTCAGCCCTCATGGTGATGCTCACAGAATGGGGACTGTGGTTATGGTCCCCATTATATTATCCACAGCCATGCCTCTTGTGTCTAAGACTGCCCAGGAATAAGCAGGGGCCACTCACAGGGCCATATTCTATTTTTACAGTTTCCAGTGGTTTCTTTGGAGGCCAGTGGCATGAAATCCATCCTCAGTACTGGACCAAATATCAAGTGTGGGAATGGCTGCAGCACCTCCTGGACACCAACCAGCTGGATGCCAGCTGCATCCCTTTCCAGGAGTTTGACATCAGTGGAGAACACCTGTGTAGCATGACTCTGCAGGAATTCACGAGGGCGGCGGGCTCTGCTGGGCAGCTACTCTTCAGCAACTTACAGCATCTTAAGTGGAACGGTGAGTGGTGCCGGGAAGTACAGGGGCTCCACAGCTGGCTGAGGGGCTCCACAGCTGGCTGAGGGCTCCACAGCTGGCCAGGTTCCCTGTCAGACTTGACACTGTGACTACCATTTCCCAGGACAGGGAGGTAGCAGAGACTGGAAAAGGTACGTGCAAATTCTAGGGTATGACGTGTCTAATCCCTTAGAAACATTGATGAAATCTTCTTATGGCTGCCTTCATTTCCAGAGAGACAGAGCTGGGCAAATATCCACAGAATACTTGTCATAGTAGGACAGGATTTTCCTTCACATTAAAAAAATTCCTGTTTTTTATTTGATTTGATTATTTATTTGAGTGTTTTGCCTGTGTGTGTATGTATCTGTACCACATGCGTGCCTGGTGCCCATGGAGAGGTCAGAAGAGGGTGCTGAATCCTCTATAACTGGAGTTATGGATGGTTATGAGCCACCATGTAGATGCTGGGGACTGAACCTGGGTCCTCTGCAAGAGTAGTAAGTGCCCTTAGGTGCAGAGCCATCTCTCCAGCCCTCCTTTATATTTTTTAAACAGTCTAGTAACTTAATTCTTAGTCATTAATTTGTTTGTTAAAGGCCAATAGTTTAAAAAAAAACTTATTGACCCAGTATTTTTTAATTTTAATTTTTAAAAATTTGGTCTGGTTATCTTGAGATTAGGTTGGACTATGTGGTTATATAGCTGGCCCTGAACTCTCTGTCACTCAGGTTGACCCTGAACTCAAAATCCTCTTTACTTAGCCATCCATGTTCTATGATTATAGAAATGCACCAGTATACCCAACCAGACCCAAGTTCTTAAAATGGGAGTCCAGTGTATTTAAGAAGGCAAGCAAAACTCGATCCATGTATCTGGAGGGAAGAAGGCTAACCCTCCCCCTTCTCACTTTTCTTAAAAGTGTGTAACCAAGCCTGGGAAGGTGGCTCAGCATGCACTGCTCTTGCAGAGGGCTTGTGTTGGTTCCTAGCACCCAACCATCAGGCACTTACAGTTCCCTGTAACCCATTTCAGGGGATCCAACACCTATGACAATCCATACTACACCTGTGCTCACATGTACATACCTACATATAGAGGCACACACATGAGGACACACACAATTAAAAATAATAAAAAATAAATATTTAAAAATAGATCTACAATTAAAATACTTCTGAAAACGGGATGAATGGCCTGAAAACACATGGGCTATTTCTACAGTGATTTCTGGAATAGTTCCTAAAACCTCAAGATTCTCCCCTCAGATCTCTCATCTCACACACAGGAGGCCACCTTGCAAACTGTCCATGGTGAGAGTTTACACATGCCCCCCCCCACACACACACACAGAGAGAGAGAGAGAGAGAGAGAGAGAGAGAGAGAGAGAGAGAGAGAGAGAGAGAGAGAGAGCACACACTGACCCATTAGAAAGTGCATTTATATCTCAGCAGAGCCTGTGTTTGACAAGTAAGTAGGGCTCAGTAAATGTGAGCTCTAGAGCCATGTGGACAGCTGCCATCAGCAGGGGGTGTGGCAATGATGCTGGCAGCCATGGTGTCATTTTGGATGTCCTCATCTGGCACCTTGACATTCCCTTCTCTCCACTCATCTCATGGCGGTGGTTACTCATTTTTTTTTCTTACTAGAATCAAACAAAACAAGGCTCTATTATTTAAATAACCCTCAGGAATCTTTGCAAAGAGCAGACTTATAGTTGAAGAATTAAAAATACCACCTCTAATTATGCCCACTCCTGTAAAGCTTTGCTCTGACTGATGCCTAAGGCAGGGAGGCTTGGGAGGTATGGTAACCATCTTTGACCTTCCATGAATTGCTTGGTCTTACTGTTCTTGCCTCAAAGTGCCAAATGGTAGGAGTTTCCACTGTGGGCTTGTTGTTTCAATTTCTATACATATTCTATTAGTTTACATTTGTTATGAATATTTTATACTGTGAATTGATTTATCAAATAAACTATGGTAAAATATTATATCCATTTTAAAGACGGGAAAACTGAAGGCCAGAAATATGAACTACTGATACTCTCTGCAGCGAAGAAAATCACTGTATACTCATTCACATGTGTGCTTTTATACATTATAGTTAAGAGGAGGCTATTTGGCATGCACTACATGTGTGAGTGCTGAAGGCATAGGTAAAGGAAATAAAGCTCATGGTATTTTATCCAGATGTGACTCATAGATGAATCTAGTAAAGGTGGGGTTGATAGAGTTTAAGATCAGAGTCTCAAGTGCTAGTGAAGTTAACATGTCTTTCTGTGCATTTTCACTTTCATTTCATATGATATTTTAGTGTGAGAGCATGTTATGTAAGTCATGTAAGTAACTCTATCCAGTTTAGTCCCCTGAATTTACACAGGAGGAGACCAAGACTAGAATAGCAAATGTCTTGCAGCTCCTAGTATTGGAGAAGGTAGCCTTCTGGTTTATGACATTCCTTACTTCTAACACCAATTAATCGCTCTTGTACAGATGCCTTGGACTACCAGTTCTCTGGGGCCAGAGATGGTCCCAGACTTGGGTATGCCGAGGCTGGCTAGGGAGACTCCAACCGGCCAACCAGGAAAGACAGCAGGATAGCAGATGCTCTTCAACAGAGCCTATGTTCTTGTTGAAGTGTCAGGTTTTGACTCCGTCTGGGCTCTCTGACTTTTCCATCTGTCCTTCACAGGCCAGTGCAGCAGTGACCTTTTCCAGTCCACACACAATGTCATTGTCAAGACTGAACAAACAGGTGCGTGGGGAGAGGCAGAGGGAGCCAAATTGGCCAGGCCAAGCCCTGAAAAGAAAAAGAGGAGGGAGAACAGAAGACCACGGGAGAAAAGTTGGCAGGGAATCCATGGAGGTCATTCCCCTGCCTCCAAGGCCTACCCTGCCATAAGCCTCTTCCTGCTCTTGGGACCAATGACCACCAATTATGTCTAATGTGTAGATGGGTGGTGAGCCATCCTTCGCCAGTCACAGCACCATCCAGATCCAAGGCCAGTTGCTGAGTAAATACAGATTCTAAGGTGGACTTTCTTCTCAGGAAGAGTGAGGCTGAGCTCAGAAAAGCAAGGGGAAGGTAGAAGTCTTTGTTCTCCACCTTCCACGGGAGTAAGCTTCACAAGGAGGGAGTTGTTGTCTTGATGCTGCAGGGAGCACTCTGGGCCCTACGGAGCATCCACAGAGATGTTGAAGGTGGTTGTAGAGCACAATCCTCATGAGGATATTTCTACTTGAAAGATCCTATCCTGGGCTCTGAACAAAGCCTGTGGTTTCATAATGTCTACATTCATTTTTTGTTCTCTTTCCTCTGTCCCCCAAACTTCATGGGCACAAAATCTACACAGGTGCCACTGGTCCTGAGTCACTCCCTATGTCCACATCAGGTAGATTATAGGCCATGCGGGCTGACAAAGTTTGCCTGAGATCTCCCAGAGGGTTGCGTGCTAGTCACCAAGGACAGAATTTGACCTGGGGGTGGGTTTTGAGTCACTTGGCACCAAAATTAGCCCATGCAGTTATTAAATCTTTTATAAGGGCCCTGGTCTACCATTATTAAAGAAAAAAAACCAGCTGGCAAACATGTTAATTAAGCCTTCCTAGGCCTGTCCTGTAGCTTGGATGGTCTGTGTTTTGTAGACCTGCCCAAGCTCTATAGACAGATCGGGATTTGGCTTAGAGAATGGCCATGGCCTTGGCCTTACATATAGCCCCACTGCAAGGGCCAGGGTGATATTGGAGAGGCTCCAAAGAAGATGATAATCCTCCTTGACCATCCGGACATTCTTGTGTTGCTGGTTCAGAAAAGCTGAGCTCAAGGGTGGAGAAGGTCCACCCTAGGAAGAGGGGAGAGGAGGCTCACAGAAGGGCCACCCCCAAACCTCTTTGGAGATTGTTTTTAGAGACAACAACAGATGTACAAGGTGACCCAACAAGGACAAAGGGTGTAACCCCAAGAGATTGGGCTTAGGGTGTCCAAACACGTAGCTGTGAGTTCAAATACCAGCTAAATCCCCATGTTGTAAACAGAAGGATTTAACCAGTGAGTCAGGCTTTATACCATTTATGCTATAAAAACAAAACAGAGCTCAGCCAGTGGCTTGCCATTCTGGCCTTCATATGTGGAACCTGGGTATCGGCAAAGCCAATGTAGCCCAGATTGGGGACCAAGAGCTTGATGCCAGGGCAGAGAGAATTCTTGTGTTGGAAGCTGGCCTGGATCTGGCGATTGTGTGGGAGTTGGGCTTACTTGGGGGCAGGTGGAAGGGAGTTTCCTTCTTATCCACAATCTGAAGAGTGTGTCTCACTCCAACTAACTCTTGAGACATAGCATACACGATAAGAAAGGGGGAAAGGGGGCCATTTCTGCTTCTCCCAGAGATGCAAAGGCCCACTCATAAAAAGCTTTTTGGGTGATTTGGTATATTTTTTTCCCCTTCTCCTGAGTTTTGAGAATTTTATATCACCTCTTAAGCTACTTGGAGAAAAATTAGACAACAGTGGCTGTCACTCTCCTTAAGGGTTAGCTACTCTTTTGAATTTCAACAGTGAAGAAATTGTGAGAAAGCTGGCCAGTTTTTTTTCCTGAAAGAAACACCATCAGTTTCCTACCACCACCAGAAAGAAGAATGCTCTTTAACCCGTTATTATATATTTATTCATCCCCAACAAAGCTTTCCCTCCACTCCAGAGTAAAATTATCCTGGTAACTGTGTGGCAGGAGTGAGGTCAAGCAAGGCTGGAACATTTCTAGAAGAATGGAGTGTTGGTCTAGGATAGGATTGCTTAGCCTGAAAATGTAATGAGCATATATCACAAGGTTAGAAGCATTGCAAAGCGATTCATATGATGCTGGGAGAAAGATGGGCTGACATGGTCAGAACGTAGCACTGAGCTGAAGTAGAGTTCTACTCCTCGTGACTGCCTCTTCCTTCCCCCACGCTCTTGGATGAGCAGACACTTAGAATGGGAATTCTTCAACCCAGAGATAACAATTGCTGACCTTCCCCATTCTCCGTTCCTTGCAGATCCTTCCATTATGAACACATGGAAAGAAGAAAACTATCTCTATGACCCCAGCTATGGTAGCACAGTAGGTAACTAACTCCCTGACTCCGAAGGCCCTTTCGCATGCTCGCTCTGCTCCAGTGTTGTGTTATCAGGAGGGTCTCTCAATGTCCTTTCTCTTTTTTTTTTTTTGTTCCCTGCAGATTTGTTGGACAGTAAAACTTTCTGCCGGGCCCAGATCTCCATGACAACCTCCAGTCACCTTCCAGTTGGTAAGTTGTTCAGACATGGACTGGGTTTGCCTCTTGGCTGTGCTTACTAATTATCAATAAAACTTACCACCACCTACATTTCTACCTGGCTAGAGTCTTTCTCATTAAAAAGCTAGGGAATGAACTGAATTGTCATCTGAATGAGTAGCTGTACTTCTCCCAGCCAGTATGTATACACCAAAGATTGTCAGCGCACATCCCTCCACAAGTATTCTTCTGCACTACTCTGTGTAACTAGTCACTCTCTTGAGACAATGAAAGTTCCTTGCATTTTCCTCTGTTTTTAACACAAACTTGCTTTGGAGATAAACTTGGTAATAGCATTTGTATTTATTGGAGAGAAGACTAGATTTCATTTTTAGTTGCATCTCAAACATACATTTTGAACTATGTTTGGCCTTAGAACAATGAACTCTAAACACCTGTGGACCGGAGGGCATGGTCTGCAGATAGAGTGATTTGAAAGTTTGGACAGCAGCCCTGCACTCACATTCCCGCTCCCCAATGCCCCCCTCCCCTGAACCCAGCCCGTTTTGAGGCTTAACCTTGATGGCTTCTGCAATCAGAGCATCTGTCCTGTGTCAGTGATGTTCTCATCAGTTGCATTGGTCATGGTTCGATACAACTTGGGACTATCTGCAATGCTTTGTCAAAGGTTATAGCAATGTTGGCACATTGGGGGCTAGGTCTGGGAAGGGGCTTTCAGACAATAGGTACATTTATATGTGTCCTATAAGAATTAGCTAAACAAAAGATTTTGTGTTGTTCCTTGACCTGGTTATTTCTGGGCCTCTTTGGGTCTGTGAAGTTGAGACATCATCTACAAGAGAAATGTTCTTCAGGAACTGACCTTAGTGGCAGTGACAAAATTGGAAATGAACAGGGTCTGTGTGAACGACAGCATAGGCTTGAACAATAACACCCCCTCTTCTTTAGCTTTGGTTGAATGTATGGTTGTGTGAAGTAACTATTGAGAGCTTTTAGTTTGAAGTTTTGTTTCCATCAAGCCCCTTGAATGGGAGGACTGGGAGCTAGTTTAAGCACTTTTGGAATTGTAGTTGAGATCTGAAGGCAGCCCTGTCCCCCAAGCCTTTCGTATGTGTCCCTTGAAGTGATTTGTGAAGTGATCAGGAAGCAAGGCCAATGTCAGAAAAGAGGTAGTATATCTGCCACTATGGAGGATCAGTCCATCTGAGTAATTTTCCGTGGCAATTGTTGTCACCTAGAGAAGACTCCCAGCTTCAGGGCTGAATAAAGCACCCAACTTACCCACTAGTTTCCACCCCAGCTTCCTGTGGTGTCACTTGCCACGACTTTCCTTTTGGGTCTTTAATGCGGTAAAAGATTTCGACTAAGGATAAAATTGAACCAACTGCTTCTCACAAACTCCCAGGAAGTCACAGCCCTGTTACCTCACAGCTTGGTCGGTCTGCCTTCCACATTTTGTGCCTTAGGTCTTCTAGCATCTCAGAACAGCAGGGGGTCAAGGCAGCAGCTTATACCTGCATGCTCTAACAGCAGGGAGCTGCTGTCTCCTGCACCCACCTATTTGTGGTGGTTTTAGATGCCCTTTCTTTAAAATGAGCTGTAGGAATCTGCCCCCTCACCTCTACCCCTATCTCCAGTCTCCTAGTCTCCATTATCCTCCTGACGCTGGAACAGCTAGAAAATGAGATGAGTAACTCAATCCTTTTATCTTAAAAACAAAAAGCAAAACAAAGCAACAACACGGTGTCTGCAGTTGGTGAATTCTTTGGATTTTAGGTCTGGTAGGACAGTAATTGCAACCATATATGAGTCAGTTCCTTCCAGAATAGTTTAGTCTCTACTGGATGGGGCCAGAATGCCCCCAAAGACCTTTGCCATCTGTCCTAGTCTTGCTATGTCAAGTTCCTATAAAATAGGGTGCAGTTAAACATCTATCTATGTTTCCATGCAAGTTCAAGCTGAGCTAAGGCGAGGCTCTGTGTCAACTGATGGTCTCCTTGATAGTGCAGGTGGGGAAGCCGGCTTTGTTTTGATTTTTTTTTTCAATCTGCCCATTCCATAAAATGGCTGCCACCAGTGTTCTGATCTGCTCGATAGAAGCAGAAGCCAGTCCTGCCAACTCAGGCTTGATGTGTTTATCTACTGACTTGTTGAGCCTCAAGCTAGGGTGGCACAGTCTATTAGAACACTAAGATTTGTATATCCCGTAAAGAAATGGCTCACAGCTGACTCATATGCAAATACATCTAATCTCTGCTTTCTTGCGAAGCAGCTAGGCTGAAAGCAGAGGCTCCCACTTAGACTGTAAACTCAGGGCTTGGGACTGCTTCTGCCTGGACCCCCACAGACACCTTGACCTCAAGTATCTTGAGAGAGAAACAAGAGAAAGCCAGACTGGACAACCTCTGTAGAGCTAGCCATTATTTTATAAAAATGAATCACTTGACCATATGGCCCACTTCAAAGGTCTGGCTTTTGTTTTGTGGCAGTGGGGAGTACAAGGGGGCGGAGAAAGGCAGTTGTATTAAATGAGCTCATAGATCAAAAGGCTTTAGAGTTAAGGCTGGTAGGGTTTTTGTGGCTTCCTCTGCGTGTTGGCAGGAGAAGAATGTCTGGAAGAAACATTCATCTTTTTGTCCTGGATTACTTATTCTCCCTTGTGAGGATGGGAACATCTGGCCTCGTGTGTGTGTGTGTGTGTGTGTGTGTGTATGGTCTAGCTTGATGAAAAGGCTAACATCTCAAAGACAATCAATTCAGTCTTTTAATCTAGAGTCTATGAACCCCCTAAGTGAGCCAGGGATTCCCAAAATGACTGATGAAATTTCATTAGTGTGACACACTTGCATTTTATAGTGGAGAATGTTTAGGTGTTCATCCAATTCTCAAAGATACCATAACCCCAAAGTGATGAATTCTGCGTCAGATTGGAGCCCCGTGTACTGAGTAAGGCCAGTGGGCCAAGAAACTCTTGTGTTTTTCTGAAGCCATCCCTGGCTCTGAAATCATGGCTCTGTTCCCTCTTGGATCTCATTGGAAAATGAGCTTTGCTTGTGGCCTACTGGGTAAATGCCATTCTTTGTCTCCAGAACAACATGGCCCTGTCAGGGTGATGTATCACTGGGAAACCGGGGTGGGTGCCAGACCTGTCTCAATGTCATCATGTCCTGGTGGGGTGTTGCAACCTTGGCCTGCGAACTGCAGGGGGCCGAAAGAGGCGTCCTTTCCAGTTCCGCGTATTGGTCCTTTTGGATTTCAGAGAAAACCACATAAGGCCAGGCCCTGCTGGCACCAATGCCAGGAGAGCAATTCTTACTCAGAATGAGGAGTTTCTCTTTTATTTAATCCCTCTTCTCATCTCAGTGACTTTTGGAAAACCTGCTAGGAATGTGGAAGTGTGAGAAGCTCAGGGATGGATGGATGGATGGATGGATGGATGGATGGATGGATAGGTAGGTGGACCCACACACTGGGAAGTATAGAACCAGTGCATAGGAATTGTGTGTGTGTGTGTGTGTGTGTGTGTGTGTGTGTGTGTGTGTGTGTGTGTGTGTGTGTGAAGACACTGTGGAAGTAGATTGGCTCTTGGAAGGACATTTGAGAAGTGTGTTATGTGACCAAAGAGCCTCTCCCTTAGGAAAGTGTTATGGGCAAAGCTTCTGGGATCCAACTACTGGTATTTACAGCCTGACTCTACTTTTAGGCTCTTTCTTGGATCTTCCATAGAAGCAGACCCAACCTTACACGGTTTTTGTATGAATTATATAATAGCACCTACCTCATATCATTATTTTATGAATGACATAAGATAAGCCATCGAAAATGTTTAGTATTGTGTCCGGTACATGGCAAGAACTCAATAAATAGGAGTTAATTTTCGTAACTATTTTATCTTATCATTTTACTTTTGGTGGTGCTGGGGATCAAGCCTAGGGCTTTCCTTGTACAAGTGCTCTAACCCTGAGCCATGTCCCCAGGCTGTTTAGTCACTTTAACTTTTGTGGCTCATAAACTCTTTTTTGAATAGTGGCCCACTCTATCAGATGCTTTCCTGGACCCCCTCCCTGTGCACACAGTGTTGATGAATCTAGAATGCTCTCGAAGGTCTTAACAGGGATCTTTATGTTAGGAAGTTCTACTATAACGTCACAAGAAGAGACATATTTTGCTTAATTTCTTTAAAGGATTGACTTGTGTTTAGGGACTATTTTGTATCAAAATAGCTATTGATTATGGGCCTTGGGATGAGATCACCAATGGTCCACACAATACCGTTGGAAATATACAAACACAGACACAGACAGACACACCTGAGGGAGGGCCACTAAGTTGTTATTTTCCTTTCCTTTAACAGTTCTTTTAATGATGTATTTATTTTAATTTACGCACATGAGTGTTTTGCCTGTATATGTATATGTCCCATGGGCGTGCCTGGTGACTGTGGCAATCAGAAGAGGACATCAGATCCCCTGGCATTAGAGCTATAGATAGTTGTGAACCATGTAAGTGCTGGGAATCAACTCAAATCCTCTGCAAGAGCAACAAGTGCTTTTAACTGCTGAATGATCGCTTCGGTCCCTTCTTCATCTTTTAAAAAAATAAATCTATAATAATAATAATACATTTATGAGCCATGCTGTGACAGTTTGGTACTTGTGTATAATATGTGATAATCAAATCAGACTTGGTAGCTGGCTAGCATCCCCACCTCTTCAATGTTCATTGTCTCAGTGTTGGGAGCCTTGGGACTTCTTGGTTCTAGTTCTTTGTAAATCTATGTAATAAGTCACCAGGCATTATATTTTCATCCTACTGCCTGCTAGACAATTGACCTTGTTCCTGCAGGGAAACTGCTCTTGTGGCATGTTATCTAGTCTCCTGCTGTTCCTCTCATCCCCTCTTCATCATTCAGCTTGTTGTTTTGCTGGGATTAAACTTTTCAACCTGTCATATATACCTGAGAACACTAGTGTTTTAGGGTTTTGGTTTTTTTTTTTTAGGAGAATTTTCACATCATAGATCTGCCTCTGTCTTCTCCTCTATGGAGACAGTGAAAGGGTTACCATAAAGAGTCATTTGTTAAACTAATCTGTGTTTCCATAGTCCACTGTGGTCCTCTGTGCTGGGCTCAGGCCACTCAATGGCCCCTTTGTCAAGGTGATTAAAATGTAACTTTGCATGCCAAAAAATGGCACTCCTCTAGCTTAAACGTTATCCTCCTTTGTTATGAGTGTTTACATTTTTGTATTATGTTATAAAAACATCCTTTGGATGACCTAAATCTTTCCATGGTTTACCAGCTCTCTCAGAATGAAGCAGAACAAAGTCCTTTCAGAAATTTCTTTAAGGCATTAATGATCTCTGCCCATGTCTCTGCCCCTTGTCTACATCCGCACTGGCTTCTTTCTGTGCTGTGTAAATACTTAATGCACAGTGACCTGAGGCCCTTTGTGCTTACTGTCTTCATTTATGGAACATTTGTCCCCAGATTCTCTGAGTGGCCACCTCCCCTACATCTCATGGGTCCCTGTGTCACAGAATTCTTCTGTGACTCTGTTGTATTAAGTTGCAAACAAGTTTCACTTCTCTACTTCGACTGCCATTTCTACCCTGCATTATTTTTCTCCATGGCATGCATCCTCTGCTTTATGACTGCCACACAGCCAGGCAGTACTGACATGCCGTGGGTGGTCAGTGAACACTGATGAGGTGTGTGATGAGAATGATACTTACATGAGGTGTGTGAACTGAGGTACTCTCACTTTTCTCCTTAGCCGAGTCACCTGATATGAAAAAGGAACAAGACCACCCTGTAAAGTCTCACACCAAAAAGCACAGTAAGTTGCCTGGCACTATTCCCTCTGTCTCCGTCCCTTTGCTTCTATAGGTGGCTTGTTTTCTGTCAAAGGGACTCCTTATGTGACTGTTTCTGAAAGTGGGACCTCCTGGGAATTTCTTCCTCATCTTAATTTCTCTAAAACTAGGACACTAAGTGGATAAGAACTTGTGGACAGAGGCTTAGAGACATCCCTTTGCCTAGGAGAAAACAGGATAGGGCAAGGAACGAGATGGAAAAGTGTCTGAGATGCATCACTCTTTCTTTGGGGGAGGTCTTGTCTGTTTGTTCTGAAGACTCAACTCTGCTCTCTGGGAGTTGGATTTCCCCAGGGATAAAACCTTATGAACAGCCAGGTGGTGGTGGCACACACCTTTAACCCCAGCACTTGGGAGGCAGAGACAGGTGGTATCTCTGTGAGTTTGAGGCCAGCCTGGTCTACAGAGTGAGTTCCAGAGCCCTGTCTCAAAACAAAAACAAAAACAAAAACAAAAAAAACAAAACAAAACAAAACCCCAAAAAACCCCAAAACCAAAAAACCTTATGAACATATACGGACTATCAGAGCCACAGGCTAGAGGGGGCACAGAGGACTGTCAAGATTGTACAATCAAGAATTGACAGAGACTTGGGGTGTCTTTACTCTGCTTCACCAGCTTGTCCCATAAAGGTAAACTCATACTGTCCCCCAAGTCCCATGGGGTAGGGGCTCTGACATGCATCTCCTGGAAGTAAAATCAAATTCCAGGAGATGCCTAGCTTTTAAGTTGGTTCCCTTGATCCCTATTTGATAATTCCCTCTATCCAGCATGCTCTTGGTATTAAGACTCTATGCTCTGCTGACGCCATGGTTGAAGCACAGCTGTAGGGTTGGAGTAACCAAGGGAGGTATTAGATAAAAGGCTGAGGATCGATGTCTGAAATAAGCCCAGTCTATTCGTGAACAATATCTAGGAGAAACTCAGCCTGGATTACATGGTTAACACTAATTCTTTAGTCCTGGCTTTGACAGTGGTTGGTTGTGCCACATTGGTTAAACCACTGAAATTTCCCATGCCTTGACTATACTAGTTGTTCATTCTAAAATGACTATTTGATGATTCTGTATCTCAAGGAAGAAGCTGTAACTCCACATTCTCTCTCCCTCCTGCTCTCTGATTTGAGCTATTAATAAGTCATCATGTCTTGCTTTTCATCAGACCCAAGAGGGACTCACTTATGGGAGTTCATTCGAGACATTCTCCTGAGCCCAGACAAGAACCCAGGGCTGATCAAATGGGAAGACCGTTCAGAAGGCATCTTCAGGTTCCTAAAGTCAGAGGCTGTGGCTCAGCTGTGGGGGAAAAAGAAAAACAACAGTAGTATGACCTATGAGAAGCTCAGCCGGGCCATGAGGTGAGCAACTTCATGTTCTTCCAATGGCAAGGCCACAGAGCAGGCGCTCCCTGCAGTGTTCAGACTGAACGGCCACCTTACTCATCTCCTTCTTACAGATATTACTACAAACGGGAAATCCTGGAACGTGTGGACGGACGGCGGCTGGTCTATAAATTTGGAAAGAATGCTCGTGGATGGAGAGAAAATGAGAACTGAGGCTGCCAACCCTTGGGACACAAACCAAAAACACACAGCAAATGGATTATGATCAATGAAGAACTGGACGTAAATATTTCAAAGACTGCTTTTCAGTGATATTTATGTACTATGAAGGGACAAAAAATCTACTTCTGATGGGAAGAATGAACACTACAGTTAATGAAAAAATTATTTTGTTACTTTGAAGTATGTCCTATGTGGGGAGCAAACGTACACAGTTTTCTGTGAACTATGAAGCTGTATGTGGTTGTGATGTGCTGTTGCCTCTTTTGTGATGTCTTGTTTTGTTTTTTTTTTCCTACCCTGAGAACAACAGGGCCTGTAGCCTTGCGCTTCTTGTCGAGAGGAAGGGAAAAGAAATAAGAGGGCATTAAATATTTTCATAGACAAAATAATTTAGAGAAAAGGCGATGTGTTCTCTGCACATAAGCATCCATGTGACCTCCTCAAGAGAAATGGGATTCATTGGTAGGACAAAGTTCAGGGTCTCAGATTGATGGGGTCAGCCCAAAGGATGCTGGGAAATTTGACTTGACTTAGGAGACAGGGAATAGAGAATGGCAACTTCCATAATCCAGCGTGGCCTATAATCACTGCATGATGACATGACTGGGAAAGTTTAAATAAATGAGAACGATGGAGGGGAAGGACCTACCCCCATTCATGGATGATTCTCCTGTACCCCCTTTGCACTTGGATGGTTAAAAACATCATTTGCTTCATGTGGTCACTTCTAGCTATGTAGAATTCAGCCCAACTATTGAAAAAAAGGCGGGAAAAGGAGGTGATGTTATGGGGATGGCTGATGAGCATGCTCTTGTATCTGTAGTTTAAAGTTTCTCCCTGGGTACAGTTGACATTTGGGGTTGGTTCATTCTTTGTGGTGAGGGTTGTACTGTGCATCGTAAAATGTGTAGCAATATCTATGACCTCCACCAGCACTTTGTACCTGTCACAATCCAGAGTGCTCCTAGAAGTTGTCAAATGTCTCTAGGAGGACCATAATACCCTTGAGTAAGAACATCAATTGAACCAGTCAATATAAAGGTAGTCATTCAGTCTCAGAACAAAGAGATTTGTAGAATCTTTTAGTCCCTAGAGTAAAGAAAAAGCAAGACCTTGAAGTCAATGTATTTTTAGTTTTTTTTTTTTTTTTTTAATATTAGGGACAACAGGAAGCAATAGATGGAAGACATTCTTTTCAGACTGCCACGTGAAAGCCAAAGTCAGATGAATACAATGACATAGTGGGAAATTCAGGAGGAAATGTTTGCACTGGGAATACAGAGAGAAGCTTACATTGCAGAAGGATCTACTGAGGAAAGAATCTGTGTATGTGCCTGTGTGTGTGTGTGTGTGTGTGTGTGTGTGTGTGTGTGTGTGTGTGTGTGTATGTGCCCATGTGCTTATGTGTGGGGGGTGGCATGTTCCTCTGTGTGTCTGTGTGTGAGTGTGTGTGAACATGCATGCCTGTGTGCTTATGTGTGTGTGTGTGTGGGGGTGCTGTGTGCCTCTCTGCAAGGGTGTGTGTGTATGTGTGCTCAAGTACCTGTGTGTGTGTGTGTGTGTGTGTGTGTGTGTGTGTGTGTGTGTGTGTGTGATGTGATGTGATGGTACTAGGGGCATTTGGCAGTCTTCTCTCTGCTGTTCTTTGCATGGCTTTCCCTGGCTTTGGTCTAGGGTGGCGAGGTCTTTCGGTTCCCTTTCCTCAAGCCTGTGAGTTTCTCTGATTCCTATAACTGGCTTTGGCTCTTTTTACAGCTTCTCCATCACAGAGCTATCCTTGTCAGAGAGTAGGAGAGTCTGGAGAGGACTGGTGGGAACAGATCTGTGGATAAATAGATTGTGCTGTTCTCTGAGAGTGACAGTTTCTTGGCACCTGGTGCCTATTTCAATAGGCTGCAGTATTAAGTGCTCTGCATATCTATTTTCTTGGCTTGAATTTGCTGTTTTCATGACTTGGAGAACTCCAGATAACGAAGCTATGCCAGCTTGGGGAGTAGTAGAGTGTGTCCCACCACAGTTCAAAAGGAACAAGAAAGCCCTACAGAGAAGCCCTCTTTCTCTAGGGAATCATCACTTAATTGATAAGTTCATCTGTGATTAATCAGCTAAAGGCTCACCAAATACAGTCTCCTTGAATATTCCAAAGTGACATATTGGTGGTTTCCATGGGAACCTAAGTCAAGTAATGGAACATTAATACTTCACAAGTTTGAGATCATCTGAGGCTCTTATATGACTTGATAAAATTAAGCAAGGCCCTGGATCCCAGGGATAGGTCCACAGCTTCTTCAGTGTGCTGCCTGAGCAGGACAGACCCAGGCCATGAGTTTCATACACAGAGCCTTCCTTCAAGTTCCTGTCTGATTAGATTGTAAGCTCTTTGAGGGCAGGGACCAAGTCTGATCCCTTTTGTTATTCTCATACCTGGGGTGCAACAGGATAACTATTCACTGAATGAATGATGACTGTCTTCTGGGAGACTCCTCTGACTGGACAGACATCAGTCATATTCATAACTGGGAAGTGAATCACTTTTCCAGAACAGAGCACAATAACCGAACCTTCAAGGACATATCCTCGATGATGAACATTTTACTGTGACAACTCTTCTTTGCCTCCTACCTGTGCTGAAAAGAAATTCAAACAGGCTGCTTGGTTCCACACATCAGTGTCTGCTGGAGGAGAATTCTATTGCCTTACCCAGAACTGTGAGACTTAACCTGGTTACAAGATGCCAGTAATGAACCCCTGACCTATTTAATCAATGAAGATTATAAATGTGTTTATATGATGTTAATTGATATTTAAGCATAAAACCGTTTTCAGTTTTAGTATTTAGGGGTTGGTTTTTATTTTTTTCTTTTTTGAAAAATGCTGAGGGATATTTTGAAAAGGTTAGCCATGCACGTTAGATGTTAGTTTTGCAAGTGTGTCCCTTTTTTTAGTGTATAAAATGTAAGGAAAGGGAGAGCAGTAAGAGGGAGAAGCAATTACATTATTCTTCTGTAGTTTAAATAAAGCACCTAGCATGTGTCCTGTGTGTAGTGGAGCATCAGGTATGTGAGGAGTGTATGTGAGAATATAGGTTGTAAAAGGCACATGATCTGGACCTATGGAGGAACACAGACTATGAGAATGAAACGCCATCATGGTGATCTTCGTGTCACAGGTGAGTGATCCTCAGCTGTGAGGCTCGAGGTGCAGAGTCTAGAATAAGGAGACCATTAAGAAAACCCAATTTCTTGGAACGGTGTCTCACAAACTTTTGAAACATGTGGGCGTCCGAGTTTAGCTGAATTGGGGTTAATCATTCTGTAGCTATAAATTTTATTCTTGCCATCCAGCTTCTGGGTTGGCAATTGGTGGACAGCAACCCTTCTGCCACTGGTTTTTGTTTTTGTTTTTATTTTGTTTTTAAATCAGAACCTTTCCCCCTCAAACTGTTAAATCCAAATGGTTTCTGTTCAATGAAAGAATTCTATTTTTCAGAAATATGTTTTTATTTGTTTGTTTGATGGGTCCCAGAAAACACTAATAAAAACCACAGAGGCCATGCTGGAGATGTGTTTCCTTCTTTGGGATAAGCTGTCCTGCAAACTAAATGCAGGAACCGAACATGGCTTCTGGTTACGTCAGGGCCTTTTTTTTTTTTTTAAAGGATTTATTTATTTTGTGCATATGTGTGTGTACTTGCTTGTCTGTACACTATGTGTGTGAAAAGGTGTCAGGTCTCATGGGACTGTCATTGCAGGTGGTTGTGAGCAGTTGGATTTGAGTGCTGGGAACCAAACCCAGGTACTCCACAGACACACATCAAGCATTCTTAACTGCTGAGCCATCTTTCCAGTTCCCAGCTGTTGGCACTTATCTCTCTCCTGTGCCAGATGTTGTGGAGGATGATAGAGACAAAGCTGCTCAGCTCTGCTGTAGCTTACGTTCTCTGTCATGTGGAAACAGACAAAGAAAATCAAACATGGCACATCCCATGTGTGGGGCCAGGAAGAAGGCTGGAGGGGATGAGAACAGGTGAGGTTGTGCTGCTGGCTTAGGGAGGGCTGAGGAAGAAAGCACCTCAGGAAAGGACTGACAGATCTGAGAGGAGGAGACCCAGATAACTGGCAGTGTGTGCTGTGCCCAACAGCCGGCAAGTGCAAAGGCCCGGAGGTGGCCGTGTTACTGTCGTACCTAATGAACAGCGAAGAAGTCCGTTTGCAGACACAAACTTACAGTGATCGGCCATGATGAAAGAGAAGCATGGGCAGGGCAGACCAGAGCAAAGCACAGGCACACAGGGAGGGTCTGCTCTTTGCTTTGCCTAGGGGTAGGGCATTCAAAGGATAGCATGCCTCAACTCCTGGCTCAAATGGTGGTTGTGCCGAGAGTGAACTTCTGTAGAAAGGCATCTGGTGCCCAGTGTACATTCATAGTAGTGGGATGCAGCATAGATTCCTCTCACATTCTGGTTTCTAATACAATGCTCATAAATGTTTTCAGTAACTGAGCTTTGGTTATGGTACCTTTCTCCATGGACCCACTGTCTGTCACTCAGTCACCTAACCCCACACAGGTGTAATGAAAATAATAGCTAATTGCTTGGGGGACGATTCACAAGGTGTGAAGAACTGTGATAGGCTCTTACTGTATTTAATCCTCATGCAAGCTGGTGATATATTAATTTGTTTTAGTCAACAAAATAGTGAGGAAGGTTAACTGACTTTTTTAAAGTCATGAGCTTTTTTGAGTCTGGCATTGTTTGCTATCAAAGTTTAAGCACTCGCCCTGTTTCTCTAGTTTCTAGAGATGCTAAGGTTTTATGAGCGTGCGCGCAAACACACACACACACACACACACACACACACACACACACATGCACACACATATTCATGTGCACACAGGACCCTTTCTTTAGCATGTTGGGATTTGTAAGTTAAATTGTGTTTTCCAGAGCTGTATACGGTAGGACTTCTTGGAGTCTTTGTTATGTTGATGTACACTGGATCTACAAGAGAAACAGAAAGTATGGTCATTTCCCAAGTGTATTTGGGATGGACCATTTCCATCCAAGAAGACCTCATCATTTGCTTTTGAACACTTAATGATATAATGATTTTTAGAGATGACTTCTGAGATAATGGATGAGGTGGCCTTTTTATGACCTGGCCAAATAACTATGCTGATACATTTCTGCATGCCAATTTGGCCAACTTTAAGAATGTTCCATTCTTTTCAGAAGAAATTTCTCACTAACTGCCTTGTGCATTGCTTATTTGTATGAATGCATTTCAGTACTTTTTCAGTAATCAGAAACCAAACACCAAAACCAAAAACGTTTAACTCTCTGGAATTATCTATCTAAAACTATTTACACTAGGTAAAATTCGATAAGTTAAGCATTTAGTTTTTTTCACATTGTCCACCTTTCATGTGCTGAATAGCCACAGATGGCTAGTGGCTCCTGCATTGGACAGACAGGATGTAGACAGCCATCATCAGAGAAGAGTGTATTTACCACACAAGATCTGAGATGGAACGAGCAGTGAGCCAAGGTAACCACCAAGAAACAAGATCCCATAACCTTAGGAACCGGAGGTGACTTTGAAATGCAGAGAACAACAAAATAGAGACTGGCTAAATGTCCTTGCTTTTTCTGGAATGATGACAGTGTCCTCAAGAACAAACAAGTTTGATGTTGCCAGTGGGGGTATGGAGCGGGATGATTCCATTATTTCCAAGCCCCACAAGTACCCTACAGTTATTAATATGGATAGCCTGAATCTGTGGCTTTCTGGTTCACAATGCTGACAATGAGGGGGGATGGTTGTTCCAGGAACAGGAATAAAAGGTCCCCAAACGTGAAGGGCAGCCGTGCACACTATGCACTAAAAATGGCGCCCAAGCCACTGTCTTCCTTCCTTCAGAGAACACTGACTTGTAGCCTATCTAGCTCTGTCCCTTCTCAGAGGTAAGTCTCATCTGTGCTGGTCACAGCCGGTTCTCTCTGTTCATATCAAGGCAGTGGCAATGCTCTGCTGAAAGTCACAGCCAACTCCGT